GACTTAGTCATTGCATCATAAGGCTGCAGATTTTAAATGACTTTTTGAGAGTACGAGTTTTGCAAAAAAAAGTGTTTAGGTAAAAAGGTAATGAAATAGAATTCATGGATGCATGCATGCATGCAAGTATCTATCCTACCCACTTCAGTGTGAAATGAATTTGAAAACAGTATCTTCGTTGGTCACTGCGTCACCCTCCAACCACCCAGCTGACAAGTATCAGAACATACTAGTATTACATATTACGCCCGATTTAATTTTGATTTGCTGGAATTGATCATATTCGTGCTTATTCTTTCTTCTATGTTATAATGTTTGTTTATAATCTGTAAGTAACTCACTGAAATCCATGAGGTAAATACTGGTATATCAAATCCAAAACCGCTCTGTTCTGTTTGGATCTCCCGCCATCTTTTTCAACCAGGAAGTAATATCTGTTTACATGAAAGTGCCCTCTATGTCAATACTGCTATAACTTTTGTTTCTACTTAAGATTTTCAAATCCCCGCTATTTCGACATGGAACTATTATACTCCCAGAACATCCAGTCTGAGATTTACATTCAGAATTTAAAACGAGGAAACAGTGCTCGAGAAAAGTACGACGACGTTAAAAATAATTTACAGTAATTTTCCTTCATAGCGCCCTCTACTTCTCTACGGTATTCGTTTTTTTTTTTATATTTAGCCTTAAAGCTGCAACACACACTCTTTCACTAGTAACTGACAAGTTATATATACCGTATATACTTCAAAGTAATTTCAGTTAAGGATAAACGCTACACAAAATTAAAATATTTGATATTTCATGTCATGAGGATAAGGAAAATGGAATAAAATTAGCATGTTTTTTTTTCTGTTTTAGGTCATTTTACTATTGTTTTATATGAACTGGATACATCTCAAAATTTTGCTCGGTGACATATAGTGACAAAAAGTTTTGATTGACAATTGACAATATTTTTAGCCCATTTTTATCAAGAAATGTGTTTTCATTGTGGTATATAGAAACTGTATTTCATGCATATTATTTTATCTTTTTTTTCAAAAAAGTTCACATACTGTTGGCTAAAACAAAGAATAGTATACAGATTTTGACACAAAATATTGCTACTGCCATATTCCCTCAAATATGTGCATATGATAAAAACTGGTGAAGTTTCAGATATTCATTCAAAGATTTAAAATACCTTTATTAATTTATGTACCAGCATCTTAAAGTAACAGTTGATAGATATACAAGGTATAAAGTTTATTCACACTTCAAAGATAGAAATTTACCAAATACACTCACAAGTGTATTTATAAGTGAGTTTAAGTTAAACATATTTACAAAAGATGAAGCAAATCAGAGTAAGTCCCCTCAGTAATATGTAGCTATTTGTGGTTCCAAAGATTTTCCACTCAGCAAAGCAATAACCTATAATACTATAGCAGTAACATTCCCCTGTACTCTGTGTACCAACTTATGTTCTGCTGTCAATAGTCCATGCCCAGTGTTATAGTTCAACATATAGCTGCCAATAGCATTTTCATGTGAACCTCAACAAAAGGTGAAACAATGTAATTTTACATAACTATTCATCAAATATAATATAATAAGCATTTTGAGTTTACTGTCACATAACTTATAAAGTCACTCAAATAACAAGATTCAAAATTATGGTGTCGCCAACAAGCTTATTAAGATTACCTTACCATAAATTGTACATGTTGTGAGTAACACCTTGTGTTATTCATAAATACAGGTCTGCTACACAGAACAGCACTATTCTGTAACTTATGGTAGTTTGATTGTTGAACAAAAATAACAGAATAATGACCATAACAAATAATAACAGCACTGAAGATTTCATAAGGTTGTAATATATTTATTTTAAATGAATTGCATTTGTCCTTCAATCACAGCCATAATTAGACATATATACAGTTTTAAAAACAGTTCTCTGCAGAGTCTGCGTCAGTATCCATGATTATTGACAAATAAATAGGTATTTTTGTTTTCCATTTTTACAAGAGTGCTTGTTTTATTAAATGTTTTTTCTCTGGTGTCAGTTGTTTGGGGAATTCAATGTCAAACTGGACTTGTAGATCTCCTTTCATATCTGGATCCTTTGATAATGGCATGCCTTCTGAGGGAACAGCTTTCCTATATCCAGGCCTATAAAAATAAAAATACAAATTGCATATAATCAGTAGTGTACCAGGTATACTTGAGTCTTGTACAATTTGGCAGAAATATTTGAATTTTCAATACTAAAATATATGGTTTAATGATTCCTAAGAATAAGATACTACTTGTGCCAACATTAAAAATGAAATATCAGTAGTATAGATGTGGATGCAAAGCAATTAAGAAATAACAATATCAAATATTTAAGGATTTCCACTATCTATTAATGGCTGTTCAGAAGTGCTTTCAATGGAATATAAAATAATGCAAAATACTAAATCACACAACAATTGTAAAATTGTTCCATTGAAGCTGAGGCAAGAATCTAACACTAGCACCACACTGACTACATTTCCACATAAACCTTGGTTCGATTTAAAAAAGATAAATCAACACTTACATGATGATATCATTAATTGGAATGTTAAGAAGTCTTCCATCTAAGGTTGGTATTTCTACACTACATCCTGTCAATGCTTTTCCCAATAAAACTTTAGCAGTAAAAACTAAATCATTGTCCTCTCTTTTGAATCTTGGATGTGGTTTATCTCGGACAATAAATACAATATCAGCTGGAATGTTATTTGGTCCCTGATCACCTTCTTCTGGAAATGTTATCCTTGTACCTTCTCTCCAACCTTTCTTGACATTTATTGTAAGAATTTTGTCACGGATACTTGATGTGTGTCCATCCTCATTCATTACCTGTAATATAAATTCCATACATAAGTTAAATTGTTCCCAGGTTATTATTGTCTGATACTATCACTATTATAATGTTTCTATTACAAACAAATTGTTACTCACCCTCCTTGAGATTTTCATTTTCTTTGTGCATCCATGGAAGACTTCTTCTAATGAGAGTACAAGATCTCTTTCAATCGCTGGGTCCTTCTTCTTTCTACCTCTACCTTTCAAACCTCCAAATCCCATACTAAGATCACCATCAATTCCATCAAAAAATTCTGTAAAAGGAAAAAAATAACTGTGAGCTTTTGAATTTATTTTAACAGCAAGGATTCTGAATTTATATTGTGCTAAGTTTAATACTTGTCTTTTATATCTTGTTGTAATATGAAGATGACACAAATGTTAATATTTCTACGGTACTGTCTCATTGGTGAGCATGAGAAAAAAATGTTGGTTTTTTAGGAATATCTGGGCAACTTCTTGGGCAACTACAAAAATGAATAAACATGTTTGGAACTAAACATTTTTTTCTCATCATAATAAACAAATATTTAAATAGTTAGTTGACTGAAATATAAGTAATATTGTACTAACCTGCAAATGGATTTTCTCCACCAAAGAAATCCCTGAAGACTTTATGTGAATCACCATGGAAAGTATATCCATCAGTCCATGCACCAGTCTCACCACTACCAGATGGCACTCCGTTCTTCAATCCTTCCTCCCCAAACTGATCATATACTGCCCTCTTACGAGCTAAAATATCAACAAATGAACATACTGATTATTATCATCCTGATGACTATCATATGAAAAACTGATTGAATATGGAACAAAATATTTTTAGGAAAACACAAGAAGTAACAATGATTTCTCCCCTAAAATGAAAAATACGTGATCAGTTGTTTAGTACTTTTACTCACGATCACTAAGGATGTCATAGGCTTCTGCAATCTGCCGAAACTTTTCAGGTGCAAATGGTTCCTGATTTTTATCCGGGTGGAATTTCAATGACAATTTCCTGTACCTGTTGAGAAAGAGAAAACAAGATGGTATAAACAATTTGTAACTTTGTGTACCAGTTATTTGTAACTGATCTCTTCCCCATCCCTGGTACTTGTGAAAACAGTACACAAAGTGCAAAAAAATTGTGTGGCAAACATATGAGCATTTCATATTTATTGTGAGTTAATCTATGAAAAGGTGAAAATAACATGCGTGAGTAAGTAATGTTTTGATTAGAAATTGTGTCTGTATACACCGTTTTCACGCGGTCAAGGTGCAACTGTCATTTTTCAATAGAAATTTCTCTACAGAAATATCATGTCTCCTGCAGCGCAAAGAATAAAAAAAAATATTTCTGTTTAGTTTTCAGAAATATATGCGTTTAAAATGAGAACATTCCATAGTTAACACAGCATCATTAGAAAAATTAATTCCTATTATTATTCATAAACAGAACAATGTTTCCAAAAAATACAACGAAATCAAACAAATATTTTGAAGGTATTTTACCAAAAATATAACAAACTTACGCTTTTTTGATGTCATCATCTGATGCACTCCGCGTGAGACCCAATATTCCGTAGAAGTCTTGCCCCATTTTGGATAATTTCAGATGATTTCGCAGAAAGAATGAAGTGAGATGCTGTCTCAATGTTACACTCTTCCAAAATGGCTTCTGAACTGTTTGTGTGCTCTGTTGCTAAGATTCCATTCATTGTCGTTGGGGGCGCTAGTCACAACAGTATTTTTGTTGTTAAAGATTTTGTAATAAATCGTTACTTATGTAAAATTTGACACTATACAGGCTGTTTGATTGTATGTAGAAGTGTTATATTAAACTGAGAAATATTATAGTCTTACCAGAAATGTTGTTTTAATGACTGAAGAGTTGGCCAAGGTCGAGTGACCTTTGACATGTTAGATAATAAAATGAACTGTACATTTCTAGTCAGGATCGCCTATACTTTCCTGAAAATATTTAATTATGCATTTACTTCTCGAACTATGTAAGCCATAAACAGACAAATATACTTTCGATTTAAGATGAAAAATGTATTTAACATTTTTCTACTAAAGCTTATAACCCAACATAACGCATATCTGACTACTTGTTTATTAAATGCACTCAGCCTTCAACTCTTGGCAACAGACGAGCTCAAAACAACATGGCAGCCAGATTGCTTTGGTGAGCCTGATCACTGTTAGGATCAAAACACACTTCGTTTATAAATAATACGGATAGCAGATCTCCGGTCTACCTCCAGTATGGATAATGATATAGCTGGGGTTCGTATAGAACCACCGGTTGTCGAGTTCGTAGATGCAGGAGAGAATATTGTACATAGTTTGACCATATCCGTCCAAAACGTTAGCAAAAGTAGTAAAATTATCAAGTTCCACCGTCCATCAACAAATGTAAGTTAACGGTCAATTTTGATTTCATTCCATCTTTCTTTATGTTATGACTAGCAATTGATTTTTGCTTAATCAGAACACTGGATTTTAGAATATATGAGAGATGGTACTACATTTTAAACGTAATGCTGAGATGTCAGCTGAGCTGTTTGAAGACGTTACAACATGAAAGTTGAAACAATACATGTGGGAAGTGTTGTTGCACAGTTGTGTCTGATATATACTAGTTATGTCACTCACTGGGTAATTATGCAACAAATAAAGATAATTTTGGACAAAATTAAAATAAAAAAATTAGCTTTAATATCATCAATTAAATTAACCTAAAACTATTGTAAATAGAGTTAATCTATACTAAGAAGGTGCCTATATTATAAATATCTCCGTAATCATCATACAACAATATTAAATTATCATTAGGACTAAAGTATTTCATGATTGAAATTAATTTTATTACCAGACTATGTAACTCAATGCTATCAATTGGATATATTCACATTTATGGCCTTTTTGGCAGACAAGATACATTGTACAATTAAGCACATGCAGACTAGTCTTGGAAAATATACATATAACACAATCTCATTATGACCCAGCCATTGAGTATTAATTTTTGAGACAAAAACAATTTTGTTGCAATACATATTCCCTTATACTTGAAAACAAAAAAATTAATATTTCTAACTTATTTCTGACAGAACTTTAGATTGAAAGTGAAAAATCCTAACAAACCAGTAGCTCCTGGTTTAGAAGTAAAGGCAACTGTTGAGTATTTCACAGACATCGCTAAAGACTGTGAAGATAGGTTGATATTATTGGTGGATGAAGATGTCATTGAAATTCCACTCTTTGCGTAAGTACAAATAAGCTTCATTAACTATTACATTGCACACTTTGAACCTCCAATAATGCCAACCTGTCCATCAGAATAATTCTTCTTATAAGTTGCCACCCTACAGTGACTTAGTAAGTTCTGCAACATGGAGATAACATCAATGTAGCTTAGAGGTCATTTAGAGAGACAACTGTATGTGGCTGAATAATCGTTTGTTATTTAGTTTATACCATAAAAACTCAATAAATTGGCTGTTTCTGTTAATTCGCACTGCTAGTTCATTTTCAAAAAAAAAAAAAATTAGTTAAATGAATCCTTTTAATTTTTGCAAAACTATTGAATTATGTTCACCATCGTCGTACCTTGTACAGGTACATGTACTTCTGGTGATCATAGCCAGAAAACACAACACAGTACCAGTAGCGATTTTTAACAAAACATGAACATAATCTGTTTTACCATCAACATACTTTTAACTACAGGCATGTGGCAAGAAAAGAAATGCTTTAAAACAGTGCATATATTGTAACATTTTGTCAGTAAATACAGATAGAAAACATTACCAGCAGGAAATGACTTTTCATATAAGGTTCATATAAGGATGCTATGTATTAACTGATGTGTGAATTCATGCTTTTGATTGGATAACTGCTGAGGGTGTTGTAAAAAATTGTAATTTTTTGTGAAGGGTTCAAGCTCGCAAGATTGTCTATATTGCATAATTCTGAATTTCAATCAAAAAGTATTTATTTAATTCCTGCACAAACAAAAGATAATTTCATTTGGTACTGTTAATTTACACAAAAATAGAAAAGTTCTTTAAAAAAAAATTTGTTATTACTGTAAATGTCATTCCTTCCTTTCATGTGTTATTCAAAACAGTTTTGCACAGTATTCTATTTTCTCTCTAAACAGAAGAACTTGCAAATTTGTAAACTATAATGTGTCTCTGTATGCATGATATAATGACCCTTTGCAAGAAAATTATCAAAGTTAAATAGTGTACAGAAAAATGATATTATATTAGGTAATTTATATTTCCATTGTTTTATAGATACTGTCCACAGCCACTATTGGAATTAGAAGGACCTGTTGACTTTGGTGAAGTGGTAGCCAATCACAGAGTCTTATCTCAAGAAATCTCTTTATACAATCATGGATCAATGCTGGGTGAATTTAAAATCAAATATGATGGACCTCAACCGCTTGTAATATTGCCAAGTAGTGGAAAAGTCAAACCTAAAACAGCACAGATTATTAAGGTATATGATTCAACACATTTTATATGACTACAGAGCTTGAACTTCATGGAGGCATCAAAGGGTGTCACCTTGATCCCCAATAAGTTTTCCTTGATACAATTTTATCAATTTTGATCTTGATATAGCAAAGTTAAAGCTCTGTAATTACCTCAGTTACCACCACCAAGAATACTTGCATTCTGATGAATTCAAGGTGTTCAAAATGTCTTGAAAGTTGGTTATATGTTTTTCCTACACACTTATGGTTGCTACAATAATAAATGTGGCTGGCACATTTTTCATGATGTTGAAATAAATTCACATTGTTAAATATGCAAAATATTATTAAAAAATCCATTGTAATAAAAGATAACCAGTAGACAGACTAAATGTCTGATATTCAGGCTGCATACACTTGAGCAATGTCAGGTTCTTTTAACTGTTATTCACATGTATCTTTCTCTGTATAATTCTATTTTAGATTGAATTTGTATCCAAGACAGCTGGTGATATTGATGAGAGAGCTACGTAAGTATTCTCAATGTCTGATTGTGTCATAAATCATGGACTCGGAGTCTATTAAACATTGTATGATAAAACGCACAGACTCTATTCAACTTAGTTCCAAGTGTACACATC